GCATGAGAAAGTCTCAGCCTTTTGGGCATGAGTTTCTCAGCATCTGAATGGGGACCAGGGTAGATCTTATATGCTAAAGTGACTTTGGGTGACCAGGGAAAGGACTGGGAAAATGGTGTGGGAAAAGGGTCTAGGTAAGAATTCTGATTGGAATGTCTAAGAGATTGAATAGACAATGGGAATAGAAAGGCATCTGAATGAGATCAAAAAGGTGGGGCTAGGCCTTTCAAAGGGAAATAAGGGTAGTTGACAAGGGTAGTGGATAAGGAACCTAAAATGGGAGCCAGATTCCTTTTTAGGGCGAGGGGCAAAGGCGCATCTGAATAAGATTAAAAGGTAGGCTAAGGCTTTCAAAGAGAGATGAGGGGCTGGAGCTGTAGACAAAGGGGAGCCAGATTCCCTTTGGTGAAAGGGGTGAAGACTTCCCCTTGGGCCACACCTCATCAGTACCATTTTAGTTCACAGTGAATGTGAAATTTATTTTTTCATCAAAACAGGAATTGATTCAATTAGATAATTAATTTAAATTAGGAAACTAGTTTCAATAACTGAACTACTAGACCACGTTCATGAAGAAAAGACACACAGATGAGAGATGGACAAGGCTCAGGCTTGTGAGGGGGAGAAGACACACACACACAAACAGATAGCTTATTGGAAAAAGAAGAGGGCAATGTTCTGTGGAAGTACTTACAAGAAGTTGTCATATAGCAATAGGTACTTGCCCTGAAGTCACTTTGGACAATTCTTTCTATGGTGCATTTGAATTTAGGATTACCTGACTCCCTATCCAAAACAAGCCTTTTTGAGCCTTTTAGTGCTCAGAAATAGTGGGAGAGCTCTCATGAGCAAGAAGAAGGAGAGGAAGAGGGTCTATTGAACTCATTCCAGCAATTCAATTTTATTTCAAAAGTATTTATTAGGCGCCTACCTTGTGTCAGGCATTCTGCTAAGTTCTGGGAATACAAATGCAAAGAACCAAAACAATTTCTGCCTCTAGGACATTTAATTCTCACTTTAGGAAAGCAAAGTGTACACAGATAAGCAGATAGAAAATAAATACAAACCAGCTTCAAGGGGAGCATTAACAACTTGGGGTTTAGAGAAGTCCTTATGTAAGAGGTGCCACTTGAGTTGAACCTTGAAGTGAAGTTTCAAGAGGTGGAGATGAATAAAGTGAGATCCCCAGACCTGAAACAGCTTGCACAAAGGTGTAAAGAGAGAAATGGAAATGGCATGTATTGAAATAAAGAATACTGAAATGTAATTGGCCTAGAGATTGAGATATCTCAAAATACCAAAGGAGTTTGAGCATGAGAGTAATATGGTCATGTCTGGTTTTTCAAACCCAGAGAGAGAAAGGAAAAAAAAATCCTATAAATACACCCTTTCCAAAGACAAGAAGCAACATCAAGAAGGAAGAAGAAAGAAAAAGAAAACCTTTTTTCTACTGTTCAGTATGAAAGAGAGAGAGAGAGACAGAAAGAGAGAGAGAGAGAGAGAGAGAGAGAGAGAGAGAGAGAGAGAGAGAGAGAGTTAGGGAAATGTAGAACTGTTAATTGTTCTATCATATTTTTTCCTCTCCCAATCATTAACAATGAATATCACTCAAATCTTCCATGCCTCTATAAAGAACATTTTGTAAATTTATTTAGATGAGTTTTGAGCATGTCTTGACTCCCAGATATTTCATGCATTCTGTGATTATTTTCAATGGAATGCAGTAGAATTTCTCTATCTTTTCTTCTTGGTTTTTGTTATCATTTTTTAGGCATACTGACGATTTTTGTGGATTTTTTTTAATCCTGCTACTTCATGCATACCAATAGTCTCATTTAGTACTTTAGGTAACTCTGTAGAACTTAGTTACAGAATCATGGATGGACACTTGCAGCATCTCTCCAATATACCCCCTTCTTTCCTCTAACACTGCCACCACTCTAATGCAGGTCGTCATCTTTCATACCTTGATTACTGAAATAGCTGGCGTGCTTGAAGTCTCTCTCCACTTCAATCCATCCTCCATTCAGCCATTAAAGTGATTTTCCCAAAGTGTACATTCAATCATGTCACACACACACACACACACACCATTCAACAAACTCCAGTGGCTCCCAATTGCCTCTAAGATCAAATACAAAATGATCTGTTTGGCATGCAAAGCCCTTTGTAACCTTTCCAGTATTCTTACATCTTAATGCTCTTCAATTTAGTGACACTGGCCTTCTGGCTATTTGGTGAACATGACACTCTATCTCTTGGCTCTAGGCCTTTTTTCTAGTTGTCTCCCATCCCTGGAATGCTCTTCATCCCAAACTCTGTCTACTGACTCCCCTGGCTTTCTCTAAGTCCCAACTAAAATTCTATCTTTTACTCGAAGCTTTCTGTATCTTCTTTTAATTCTAGTGTCTTCCCTCTGTTAATGATTTCCTATTTATCTTCCATATCACTTGTTTTGATACAGGTTTACCTTATTATATTGTAAACTCCTTGAGGGCAGAGATTGTCTTGACTCCTTTGTATCTCCAGAGTTTAGCAAAGTGCCGGACATAGAGTAGTCACTTAATAAATGTTTATTGATTGATATAGATGGGAAGAGTTCTCATACCAAGAGCTTCCCACATTAATGAAATCACAACTTCTTTGTGAAATAATGAGTTATGGGGGCAGAGGCAAGATGGCGGATTGAAAGCAGTGACTTGCTTAAGCTCTCCCCCAAACCCCTCCAAATACCCATAAAAAATGGCTCTAAACAAATTCTAAAGCAGCAGAACCCACAAAAAGACAGAGTAAAACAAATTTCTGGCCCAAGTCAGCCTGGATGGTTGATTGGAAAGGCATATCACACTGGGTGGGTAGAGGAGCTCAGTTCGGCATGGGCACGCAGGCTGCGGTGAACCTGGAGCAGGCCTCAGAGGAATGAATCACAGGCAGCTGTGGTGGTTTCCAGACTCCTCAATCCATGAACACCAAAGACAGCTTAGAAGGTCAGTGGGAAAAGTCTGTTTTTGCGATGAGAGCAGAGCTAGGTCATAGCCAGTTCCAGAGCACAGAGCACAGGTGCCGGGAGCAGTGTCTGTGTCCTGAGCTTCAGGCCCACAGACTGAGGGGAAATCAAATGGCTGATCAGAGGGAGACTGCAGGGATCTCTTTGCCAAGGCTGAGGCAGGAATCTCTTGCTTTGCCCTGCTTGGATCTGGGTCACAGTTCTGGGTGGTGGTCCTGGGGTGAGGAGGAGCACTGGCACGGTGGAGCCTGTAGTGGCAGTAGAGAGTAAACCCTCCTCACAGTTCCAAGAGAGAAAAGACTGCTTGTGGCTGGTCACTCAAAGACTAGAGCACAGGCCAAGAAAAGAGTAAACTCCTCGACCTTTATCATACCACCTTGGAAAAATGGAAAATTTACAGGTCCCTAGAAGTATCTCTGAAAACAGCTATACAAACCCCCGAAGCTTGGGACAGTACATTCTCCACATTGGAAGCAGGAAATATTGTAAGCAGCCAGAAAGAAACAATTCAAGTATGGTGGAAACACAATCAGGATAACACAAGATTTAGCAGCATCTACATTAGAGGACCACAGGCATGGAATATAATATTCTGGAGGGCAAAGGAGATAGGATTACAACCAAGAATCACCTACCCAGCAAAACTGAGTATAGTCCTTCAGGGAAAAAATGGTCATTCAGTGAAATAGAGGACTTTCAAGCATTCTTGATGAAAAGACCAGAGCTGAATAGAAAATTTGACTTTCAAATACAAGACTCAAGTGGAACGTGAAGAGGTAAACAGGAAAGAGAAATCATAAGAGATTTATTAAGACTGAACTGTTTACATTCCTGCATAGAAAGATAATATTTATAACTCATGAGACCTTTGTCAGTATTAGGGTAATGGGAGGGGAAAAATTATATGTATGTATAGATAGATAGATAGATAGATAGATAGATAGATAGATAGATAGATAGGTAGGTAGGTAGGTAGAGGGCACAGGGTGAGTTGAAGATGAAGTGGTGATATCCGGAGAATAAAATTAAGGGGTGAGAGAGGATTATACTAGGAGAAGGAGAAAGGGAGAGGAAGAATGGGGTACATTATCTCACACAAAACAGACAAGAAAAGGTTCTTACAGTGGAGGGGAAACAGGAGAAGGTGAGAGGAAATGAGGGAATCTTATTCTCGTAGGATTTGGCTTAAGGAGGGAATAACATACATACTCAATTGGGTATGGAAATCTGTCTTACCCTACAGGAAAATAGGGGAAGAAGGGGACAAGAGAGCAGGGGGATGATAGAGAGAAGGGCAGATTGGGAAAGGGGTAATCAGAAGGAAGTACTTCTGAGGAGGGACAGGGTCAAAAGAAAGAATAGAATAAATGGGGGGGCAGGATAGGATTAAGGGAAATAGAGTTAGTTTTTCACAACATGTCTTTTGCATAACTGCACATGTATGGCCTGTATTGACTTGCTTGCCTTTTCAATGAGGGTGGGTGGGATGGGAGGAAGGGAGAAAATTTGGAACCCAAAATTTTAAAAACAGATGTTTAAAAAAAATGTTTCCACATGCAACTGGGAAATAAGAAATACAGGAAATGGGGTACAGAAATCTACCCTGCCCTACAGGAAAATAGAAGGGGAAGGGGATAAGAGAAGAGGGGGGAGACAGAAGGGAGGACAGACTAGGGGAAGGGGTATTCAGAATGCATACCATCTTGGTGTGGGGGGACGGGCAAGATGGGGTGAAAATTTGGAATTCAATATCTTGTGGAAGTAAATGTTGAAAACTAAAAATAAATAAATTTATATTAAAAAAAATATTGCATTACATTGCATAAATTCACAGAATTACAGCATCTTATAGAAAGAATGCAGCATATGAAACAATATAGACCAGTGGTTCTTAATATCAGGTCTATGAATTTGTCTTTTAATATTTTGATAACTGCATTTCAATATAATTTATTTGTTTTGTAATTTATTTTATGTATGTATTTTATTTTAGGTACTTAAAATTTTTTATTCTGAGAAGGGGCTATAGGCTTAATCAGATTGCCAAAGGAGTTCATAATTCAAGAATCGCTGATTTAGAACAACTGCCTCATTTTATAGATGGGGGAAATGAAGCACAAAAAGCTGGAAAAGACAAATTTTGAATACCTATTAAGTAAGAAAAGGTAAGGTTCAAAGGCCTGTCTGGTGAATCTAGTTTCAGGACTCTTTACTACACAATTCTGTTTCTCAAATATCGTAGCACCACAACATAGTGTCTATCAATTTCTATCAATCCTAAAGGAAGAATTATTTCTTCACACAATCTTTAATGAAAACAAGCTCAACTACATGTTATTTAAGAGAAGAGGGGCCCCAAGGCCAAGATTCCTTTATAAGTTCTCAGGTAGAGCCCAGTAGAGGTGAGAGGACTGTTGCTTCATACATATGAAAATGTGATTCAGCCTAGTGATGTTGTCAAGAAATAAAACAAGTTCTTTCTTGTACAGTGTGTTCATGATAAGCTGTTCTAATAAGATAGTGCTTTCTTCGTAAGGAGGAGTTTCCCCAAAGCCCCCTTCACATCCCTGTTCCTCAGGCTATATATGAAAGGGTTCAACATAGGAGTGACCACAGTATATAGAATAGCAGCAATTCTGTCTTTCCCACCAGAATGTGTGGATGGTGGGCACAGATAGACCCCAATAGCTGCCCCATAGAATAGGGAAACCACAGTGAGATGTGAACCACAGGTGGAAAAGGCTTTCCACCTTCCAGAAGTAGATGGTATTCTTAGAATGGCAGAGATGATGCGGACATAGGAGATAACAATGAGAGTTAGGGGAGCAGTGAGGACCATTGATCCCACAATAAACAACATCAGCTGGTTAGTGCTAGTATCCGAGCAGGACAGTGAGAGCAAAGGGGTTAAGTCACAGAAGAAGTGGGGAATGCTATTCTCTGCACAGAAAGTCAAGCCAGCCATGAGGAAAGTGTGTAAAAAGGCAGCAGAGTTGGTAAGAACCCAGCATACAGCTAGCAATAGAACACAAATCCCAAAGTTCATGACCATGGCATAGTGCAGGGGCTGGCAGATGGCTACATAGCGGTCATATGCCATTACTCCTAGAAGAAAATCATCAAGGGCCCCAAATGTCATGAAGAAATGCATTTGAGTCAGACAGCCTTCATAGGATATCCTCTGATTCTGGGTCCAGATGTTTGCCAGCATCTTAGGGACAGTGGTAGAGATAAAACAGATGTCAGCAAAGGACAGGTTTGCCACAAAGAAGTACATAGGACTGTGCAGATGTGAGTCTGAGCAGATTGCCAAGATGATGGAAAGATTTCCTACCACAGTGACCAGGTACATGACCACGAATAGCCCAAAAAGAATCGGTTGTTGCTCTGGTTGTTCAGAGAGTCCCAGGAGGAGGAATTCAGAGACAACAGTCTGGTTTGCTACTTCCATGTTTTTGGTAGAAACCCTGGGGGGGGGGGATGAGAAGGAATAGATTGGGAGGGCAAATGGAAACAAGTCACTTACCATTACAATGGGTTGTTCTTGTGTAACCTGTGGGATAGAACAACATTTCTTTAACTCATCATGAGGTTATTTAAAAGCAAATATGTTAGAGAAGGGATTTTCTGCAAAGCATATGGCCTCCTATTCTGTGCTCTCTTGACTCTTCAAAATGAAGTTTTGTGTGCTAAGATTCTATGTTCTGTGCTTCATTCCAAAGCTAACATTACAGCATTTCAAGTCCTGTAGCCCCTCTTTCCAAGAAGGAAAGCTTCCTGAGGCACAGGAACCCCTTACACAGAAGGCATGTCCCTGCCTCAAGCAGGTAGCTGACTTCACTAATTACCTTCTGACAGATGTTACACACACTGACCCTAGCCTAAGCTGGGATGGGAAGAAGTGTTAGTGGGATATATGAAGGAATATTTATGTCACTGAGCATGACTCCCATTACTATTCTTTGCCCTTACCTAGATACTAAAGACAATCTCAGGTGTGTATTGACTCTATTGATTCAACATTTGGATGACTGGAAATTCACTTGGAGAAGTCAGCTGAAGATCTAGGGACCTTCTGTCCATGAAGCAGAGAAGAAGGGTTATTGAGAAGCAGAGTACTGGATCTTTAATATTTAGAGCTGAATGGTCTTCCTGTGGGTACCATCTGGAATATTTATTGGCTTCCAGGGCCTTTGGGGTCTGATTATCCCATAACTGCTCATTAGAGAAAAGCATGAAGAAATAATTTCATCTCTCTCCCCAGGCTCTTTGGGCTCAGCCTACCCTGAAGTTGTTGCAGATTGTGCAACCTCTATCTCCTAGCAGTTTTCATATGGGAGTAAAGAAATCAGGAATCCCATACTTGAGTCTAGGAGATCAAATCCAATCAAGTCAATTGAAGATTGACTTCACTCTCTCTGGTCCCACTTACATCCAAAAAATAATCCCCACTACTACACCACACACACACTTACATAATAAGTCATCATCTTGTCTCTATGTTGATGACCTTTAATAACAGGGAGCCCATTACCTCCAGTAGTAGCCCATTTCATTTTGTCCTGTTGTCCCTCGAGCATCCTAATTGCCCTCCTCTTGTATCCAGTTTGTCAGTTTCCTTGCTATAATATATGATGCTCAGAACTGATTATAGTACTGAAGATGTATGTGATCATGGCAGAGGACGGAGAGACAACCACCATCCTCATTCTAAACACTATGCCTCTATTAATGCACCTGGAGTTTTCATTTGCTTTTTGTGTTGTTGTTGTTTGGCTGCCATGCCATGTCATGCTATACTTCCAACTCATAACAATGGTAATATCTTTTAAAAAATAAAATGCTATCTAGCCAGATCTCCCACCATTTTTGTACTTGTACAACTCGCTTTTTGAACACATACACAGAGCTTTACAATTCTGCAGATTAAAATTCTGTCTTCTTAGATTCATCCCATTAGTCTAGACTATCAGGGTCTTTTTTGATCTGGGCCCTATCTTTCATTTTAGTTATCCCTTCTAGATACGTGTCACATATAAATTTGGTAAGCATGTAATTTATTCCTTCTTCCAAGTCATTGATAAAAATGTCGAATAGCATATGGCCCATGGTAGGTCACTAAGACACTCTATTAACAACCCCAACCAAATTTAACATAGCTGCAGTCATTTTGGTCCATTTATTCAATCATTTTAAAATTCACCTAACTACACTATTACTAATGTTATCTGACATTTACGTAACGCTTTCTGGTTTGCAAAGAACTTTACAAATCCATCTGAGCTCCCACAAGAAGACCGGTAAGTAGGTAACACAGGCATTTTTACCTTCATATTGGAGGTAGGGAAACTGAGGTTCAGAAAAGTTAAGTGACTTGCCCATTGGTCACTCAGATAGTGTCAGAGGTAGAGTCTGTACCTAGGTCTTCTCGACTCCTGATTTAGCTTTTTGTCTGCTATGGTATAACTGCTTCTCCATTGGTTGAATCATTTCTTCACATCATGTACAAAAGTATGACATCAGAGATTTTTGCAAATGTTTTTGCCAAAACCAAGATGCACTTTTATTTACAGCATTTCAATTATCTACTAACTAACAAAATGAGTTCTTTCTTTTTTTATGATCTGTTCATATTAAACTATGCTGGTTTTTACTGATTACCATTTCCCTTTTTTATATGCTCACAAATTAATCATAAGTTTTAATTATTTGTATATATATGTATAGACAGACATATATAGATATACTTTTAATCATAAGTTCTAAATTATTATTAGTAATCCAGTACAATCTTTGAATGCCTTCCATATATACATAGTCTAAGGATTAAATGCATTTGCCTTTTCAGAAAATTGGGACCTCTACCTTTCTCTTCTACTTTTCTCCAGGAATTTTCAAATATCTTCAATGACCGAGTAATCACATCTTGAATTTCTTTCACTGCCCTGAGATGTGAGCTATTTAGACTTATTGAATGGAACTTGATGTTTATTTGTCAATAACCCACTTATCTTAGATTTCACCTCCCTTTTTTTCTAGCCTTCTTAGTGGAAGGATACATTTTCTTGGTAGAGAAAAGAAAAGTAAAAGATGAGCTGGATAGTCCTCCTTTCTCTACCCCTCCCCTGTTGTACTTTAGCATCCTCCTCCTATCCACCCTGACATGCAGCCCAGGGTGTTCTAGTGAATATAATCTTGTATTCAGGAGTCTAGAGCTTATTGCTTAATTTTCATTGTGAGCATTTACACTCCAGAAATCAGCAAACACTATAAATCCAGGCTTGATTTGTTTTTTTTTAAATTGTCTAGACTTAAGAAAATTTTAATAATGCAGATTAAATTTAAAGGTGTGTTGTAGGTACATTGTTTTTCCTGGAGAGGAAATCGTCACTAAGACATGAATCTATCAATGCAGCTCAGCTTTTGGAAGTGATTCTCACCAGATTAAACTAGTGTACAGATAACTACAGCTCCCCTTCACTCAAATATTATGTCTCCATGTCATGGTTATGTTGTTTCCTAAACTCATAACCTGTTTTTATTTTATTATTTATAAGAGATATATTGTACAATCCCATGGAAATGTGAATAACTTTTCTCTTTCTCTGTTTTTCTCTCTCATTATGTGTGTCTTCTGTCACTGTCTCTACCAATCTATCTGTCTGTCTGTCTGTCTCTCTCTCTCCTTCTCCCTTCCCCCCCACTCAAGATATCTCCACCTTGCTTCTGTTTTATGATCCCTAAATTTTTTCATACATATCTTGCTATAAAGCAATGCTACCCCTCTGTTCCCCATACCCATTCTGTTTATTTTAAATGAGAAATGCTCTTCTAGTCTTGAATCCCTTTGCACCAATTCTCAGTAAAATCTTAGTAGAGAATTGCTAACCATGTCTACCTATTTTTGTCACTAGACAAGTACTATATACCCCCCTCCTATTGTCCTCATCATAATTCTTTGGAGCCAAGAAGTTACTTCTTCCTCAGAGTTCACCATTACCCTCAATTATAACCATATAAAATAAAGAGAGGCTCCTCTGACTCTTAAGATTCTTTTATTCCTTGAAAACACTTTTTCAAATCTTTCTTTCTCCTTGAAAACATGAAGAGTAAAGAGATGTTCCTCTAGTACCTTCACCTTTTCTTCTCATAAAGAGCTCAGCCTTTATTTTCTGCATACAATTATTTCCTTGAGCTGGCAGAAACACAAATATCACATATTTTTGGCAGGTCATTATAAGACTCCTGCTTGACCATCAATATTTGATAAAGGTGAGATCTATAGCTCATGTTTGCATGACTATTCAGTTGCTGGTGTTCCTAAACAGGACTTTATCCATATCCAGATTCCTTGTTTTTTTCTAGGCCTGTCCTGTCTTTGATGGAAATGTGATGCTTACTTCTTCAAATTGCCTTTACACCGTAATTAATAGATTCCTGACAAACTCCTAATGAAAAGAGCTCAATTGCTGTCTACATGATCTCAAATGGCAATCTAAGTCCAAATCATTTCCTTTCATTTATGTTTTCTTTTCTCCTGTCCTTACTAATCAGACTTCAGATACCTTTTCCTTTCTTTCCATTTTCACTGATTTGGTGTTTTCAATGTATCCAGCCTTGGACTCTATCCTACATCCTACATCATTCAAAGTCCTCTTCAAAAGTTTCTTATGATGGGATATGAAGCCAGGTCTTCCTTAACACTGAGATCAATTCTCTATCCCCTTTTCCATGCCATCAAATTAAAATTAATTCAAACCAAAATATCTTATTAATTCATTTATGTATGCAGATGGCATCAAGCAATATGTCTCCCCGAAGCAAACAAATTAAATTGCTTCTTCATCTCATAGAATCTTTCTTCAATGATATCAAAATGTCATGTGGGCTCGATATGTTTAAGATTCTTATGACCAGCCAAAGAAAGACTAAAGGCTTCAAGTTTGAATCTAGAGGTCACATAGAATTAGAAGATACTTTGGTCTCCTCCGAGAAGAGACAGTAAGCATAAACCCATCAAGGAGAATTCCACTGATGAATATGTCAAGATGCTAATGTTAACTAACATTCTGAAAACAAAGCTGAATGGGAGGAACACATCTACATCAGCACCTATATAATATCATTGTTAAGGAAAGGTGACAAGCATGTGTTATTTATTAAGCACTTAATATGTACTAGGTACCATGCTAATCTCTAAGTTCTGGGGATACATACACAAATAAAAAGAAAGACAGTGTCTCCCCTCAAGGGGCTTACATTCTTATGTGGGAAGAAAACATACAAAAGTGAGTTGAAAAGGAAGAACTGGTGGTGAGGAAAAGGTAGGGGCATGGTATTGAAGTCCACAAAGACACAGTCAGGGGAGTAATGAAAGTTGATCATCCCAAGACCCTCAAAAAATTGGAGGCCCCAGGAAGAATTCATCAATGAGACAAAGGAGCTGGCATGGTGAACAGATGTTTCACTTTGAGAGAGTCTTAGAGGCAGATGGAGATTTCAGGATAAGGAGGCACCATGGCCTGGAGGAGTTTTTAGGTTAAGACTTCAGCTGAGGCATGCTATTGAAGTTTTAACATATACATTTGGATTTGTAATATGGACAGTAACAAGTTAGAAAGTACTCTAACAAAAACTCATGAAATATTCACAAAACATAAGGCTTCTCACCATAAATCATCTATAGAGTGATGTATATTTCTGTGCCAAAAGAAGGAAGTAGAATGATAGATTGTCTTGAAGCTCATAATAAAGAAGTCAAAAATCTACACAGATACTTTTGGAATAAGTAGACATCAATTCACTGAGCAATAGAAAAGGCTGATAATAGGTATACCCACTGGATTATCCAATGTAGTCAAAAGTGGCTTCTTTCCAGATGGAACCTATGAAACATCAAAGAGCTAAAGTTGGAATCAAAAGGCCCCTTATGAGCCTTTTGGGCAATATCTGTACTAATTCAGTCAATAATATATTGACAAATGTATTAAACATCTGAGTCATATGTAAGCGTGGAAGTGTAGGGTGTTAATGATGGATGAGGTCATAGACACCAAAAACTTTCTAAAGTTTGTCTTGAAGGAGCCTGAACTAGTGATCAATGTAGGTTATGCAAGAAAATGGTAGCAACTGTATAACACATCTATGCAGGCTATAAGAATTTAGCACATCCTAAATACTTAGCAAGCTATAAACTAGTGGCTAGAATTGGACATCAAAATCTATCTTCCTGGACTGATAGACAGTAAATCTTTGTACTACAAATACAAGCTTCAAGATGTCCCAAACAACTCAACCAATAAACTGCTCCAGATCTAGAGCATTATCATACACACCATGCTGCTGGCTGTAATTGCCCAGACATAACATTAATTTATAAAAACTTGAGAAGAGTTTAATGAGATGTCACTATCCCAAACGCCCACAACCTCCAAACAATATGGAATGAAAACCTTCCAAAGTTGTTGTTGTCTGCTCTTTGTTTTTGAAGAGGACCAAGGATATCATGGAGGTCATGTCTTGAGTTGCATATGAATTGGATTTAACTGAGACAGAGTTGCACAAAGTCATCAACCTCACTCTCTCTTTTAGACTCATCAAAGTCCAGTGGCAAGACACAAGTCAATAAGAGTGATTATGACTTTGAATGTAGTGAATGAGCTTGGTCATGTCTGACCAAGCTCTAAGCACTGCACAGTGTCTGCTTCAACTGCCTTCATGGCCTTTGGAACAAATTGTTCTCATCTGCCCATTCCACTGGGGGAAGTCTTCCCATGCATGGGGTTGACACCCCCGTAATTCACAATGAGTTTGATCCCTATTGATTGCCCTGAACCTGGCTGGCCTTCTGCTGAGATGGT